GTTCTGGGAGAAGTAAGTGGGAGAAGAACAGAGCAAGGTTCAGAAGAAGGAATATGAAGTAGGAGGAAGTGATGGGTTTGAGAGGGACTTCGAGTGGAAGGGAATAAGGAGATCAGGGTCGGCATCACCAGGGGACAGAGGTTGAACTTCATTGTCAAAGGGCGAGAGTGAGTCTGAGGCAAGGAAAAGTAAATGATGAGTGGGAGGTACTGAGGATCAGGAAAGAGAAATGTGAGCAGCAAGGAGTGAAGAGGTCGAAGAGGAAAGTTGTGCGTGAGAAGGAGCAAGGTGGGCAGGAGAAGTGAGTAGCAAAATGATAGTGAACCATTTGGCCCTACACCAACTCTCCCAGACCCACCCTATCCCTATAACCCCACATTTCTCATGGCCAATCCACCTAACTTGAACATTATTGGACTGTGGGAGGAAACCAGAGCACCTGGAAGAAACCCATGCAGACATAGGGAGAATGTGAAAACTCCATACAGACAGCTGCCTGAGGGTGGAATTGAACCCATGTCCCTGGCACTATGAGGCAGCAATGCTAACCACTGAGTCATCAATGGTGGTCAATGTTTTAAAGAACAGACCGAGTGGCAACACAGATATTGCTGCTTGCTCAGTAATTGTATTAAAATATAAATGTAGTACTATTTAGCCAATTTCCCTCATTTATAAAATGTGCTAAAATTAAAAAAAACAGTTATAATATGCTTTAAGCAGAAGATAGCTGTATTTGTACCCTGAGATCCCTTTTTACTCCAAGTCTACTAGACTTACACCTTTCAGATCATAAGTAACTTCCCTGTTCTTGTTACTAAAATGTCCATTTCAAGTAAAACTTCAATTAGTTCTTTCCAACTGAAGGTAATTAAGAGGACAGTCCATTTTAAAACATGCTGTCCAATTGTATTACGTGCTGACATATAATTTAATAACCACGTCATCCTATTCTTTACGACGTTAATTCGATCCTGCTTTCAATTTATGTAAAGATATTCCTTCAATAGTCAGCTTCATTTAAGGTTCCCGTTCTAGTCTTCAGCTGAATGTTGAACTTGTGCCTTATTATTCCAGATCCAGAACGCTTTATCCAGACAGATGTTGATTTGAGTTTCAATTTGAATTATTGTTGTCACATGTACCGAGATACAGTTCAAAATGTTGTTTTGTGATATACAGGCAGATCGCAACGTACAAAGTGCATCAGGGTAGCAGAACAGAGGTGGACTGTCTATTATCTTTTCCTAATGCTGAGAAGTATTTGCCTCACAATCTTTGAGCATCGATTTCAGCACCTGTATTTATAGGTCTCCTTAAAAATAACAGCTAGAGCTTCAGAGTTTTATTGCCCAGGTTACGAGCACCCATTTCATCCAATCTATCAACACCTTGTAGATATTAAAGGTATTGAGCTTCTTCATAATGTTGTCTCTTATATCACATACGAATTATATGCTTTTGTAATTTTATACTAAATGGAGTTAGATTAGTATCTCAGGCTAGCATTCTGGGTTCAAATCCAACCCAGGCGGGTGGTAAAATTTAACACAGTAAAAATCTAGGATAAAAATCAACACTCATGACAACCGCAGAACCTCTTGTCGATTGTTATAAAACAAAAACATCTGGTTCACCGATGTCCCTTTACAGATGGAAATCTGCCAACCTTACTTGGTCTGACCTACATGTGACTCCAGACCCAAAGCAATGTGGCTGGCTCTTAACTGTGCTCAGGGGCAATTAGACAGGGACAATAACTAAGCCCACATCCTACGTACAAATGTCAATTGTAAGTTACACTTGCCTCTGTGTTAGAAATTTGCAAGTGCCACTGAAAAGACATCACCTCAAGGTCTAGGCTGTTGCTGAGTACGTGCTTCACTCTCTGTAGTGCCATCTCGCAGATACAGGTTAAACCTAGGCTCCGTCTGGCTGCTCAGGTAGACATACAAACCCAATGGTACTATTTTGAAAAACAACAGGGAAGCTCTCTCTCGCATCCTCACTATAATTTATCCTTCAACCAACATTATTAAACAGATTACAACAGTAACAGTGTTGTGTAGTTGTACTCCCTTGACTATAAAGCATTTTAAGATGCACTGAGATGGTGAAAGGTGCTAAACAACACAGGCCTTTCATCTTTCTAAAATGATAAATGGATTTCACACCATAGAGTCAGAGTAATTATTATCTCAGGAACAAAAACAGAAGTTGCTGGAAAAGCTGAGCAGGCCTGGCAGCATCTGTGAAGAAAAAAGTCAGAGTTAACATTTGGGTCTGGTGACCCTTCCCCAGATCTGGGGAAGGGTCACCAGACCCAAAATGTTAACACTGATTTTTTTCTTCACAGATGCTGCCGGACCTGCTGAGCTTTACCAGCGACTTCTGTTTTTGTTCCTGATTTACAGCATCTGCAGTTCTTTCAGTTTTAATTATTTTCTCAGTCAGAGAAACCAGAATAAGAAGAGCATTCTTAAAAATTCGAATTAGGCCCTAAATGAGTGAAATCAGGAAACTTTTCATTTGCACAGTAAGGAGAGTCTGGATTCCTTCTATTTCCATCACCAGCACTTCTTCCAATTCCCCAATCTCCCTTCACCCTGTCAAAAAAGTGGGTCAAGTCAAATTTTCGATAAATGGTATTGCGAATTCAAAAGCAAAATGCTGCACATGCCAGAAATCAAAAAGAAGACCAAAAAACTGGAAAATCTCAGCAGCTCAGGAAGCATCTGAGGAGAGAGACAAAGTAGACTTTACTGACCAATGGCCTGTAGAATTACAGAGGAACTGATGGTGTTTTTGGGTTTTCCTGTTATGTTATCTCTGGTAACAACACTGAGACTGGGTTCTCACTGAGAACAGGCATCAGAAGATTTACTCATTGAACAACTGAATACATTGAATTCTGTGACAGACATTGGTTCTCTAACTGTGTTTCCAAGTGAGTAACATAAAGTACAGCAGTATCCTTTCACAATGGAGCTGATCCCTTTATACAAGAATATTACATGGTATGATGTTACACTATATTAGTATCACTTAACTCCCTTCAAGGTGCATGCTGGTCTGCTGATAGATAGATAGAATATCACAACAGAAATAGAAATCGTAGCATTTTAAAAACCCATGAAAGAGGGAAGAGGGCAAAGAAGAATTTTGGTGATGAAGACCGGGAGAGATTAAAATGAAACTGGCAGCATGGTAGCTCAGTGGTTAGCACTGCCTCCCCACACTGTCTGGGACCTGGGTTCGATTCCACCCTCAGGCAACTGTGTGGAGTTTGCACATATTCCCCCTGTCTTCCCCATGGGTTTCCTCCTGCACTCCAAAGATGTGCGGGTTACATGAACTGACCATGCTAAATTGCCCATAGTGTCTAGGGAGGGAGCAGGCTAGCTAGATTAGCCATGAGAAATACAGGGTTACAGGGATGGGGGGGGTCTGGGTAGGATGCTCTTTGGAGGGGTGATGTGGATTTGACGGGCTGAATGGCTGTTTCCACACTGCAGGGATTCTATGGCAATGCAACAGCTGAAGAGAGCGAGGAAACAAAGGTTATGTCCAAATGAAG